TAATCAAGTCTGCTTCAATTTTTATGATATAGAAACCGATTGGTTCAGTTCAAGTTTCAGTTTTAGGTACTATAAACCGAATCAACTTTGATTAAAAAATACTATTTATTTATTTATAAAATATATAACCATTTATCTACAAGAAGAATTTTGTTTTGAATTTTTTATAGTAATAGATAAATATTTTTAAAGAACTTGAATGGACATGCATAATATCAAATAATTATAATAATCATGCTATGATCATCATTTAATTATTTACAACTTGAAAGCCTCACGTATTCAATTTATCTACAAGAAGTATTTTGTTTTGAATTTTGTATAATAATTTTTTTTGTTATTTATTAGAATATAGATACATAGATAAATATTTTTAAAGGACTTGAATGAAAATATATAATATTAAATAATTTTAATTTTAAAAACTTATATCAATTTTTATGATTAATTATTGTTAGCACATTGAAATTTTATCACATTTTTATACCTCTATTTGTGAAAAGAAAAGAGCCAAAAAGAATTGGATTTAATTTAAACACACAGTCCCATTATTAAGACAAAAAAAGGGAAAAAAATTAAATAAGTACATTAAAGCTTGATTCAAACCTTAACCAAATCAAAAATAAAATTAAACCAAACCAAGCTCATAAAATTCAATCATGTCTCTATTATGAGGAAACTAAATGGTTTGGTTTGGTTTGATTTTTGCTTCAAAGCAAACCAAATCAAGCCTATGGACACTCTCAATTTCAAGAACGATATTAATATATTAAAATTTCATTTTATTTTATATTAAGTTTCTCCTTATCTCCTCTTTATTTACTTAGACTAAAGATTCAGGTGAAAGGAACTGATGCCTAGCCAAAGACTTTGTTACTCTATATCAAGTCTTAGCTCTCCCTTCAACCAAAAAGGCCCAAAATGACACCGAGCTTATCCCAACATTGGTCAAAGAAACTAGGTAGCTCAAGCACATAATAAGGCCGCTTTGCACATGCCATGCGGCTGCAAATGTGTGATCATGATCTAACATTATTTCCTTAGTTTTATTTTACAACTTGCAGCTACCTCATGAATAGAATAATTCTAATACATTATAGAGTTAGTCACGGTTTTATTTATCATATAATTATTCAATAATGTTCAATAATCATGAGCTATCATTCAAAGTAGTTATATTTGAGTCCTCACATTAGAATCAAATTTTTATACCATACTTTGTATTTATACTATTATTACAATTAAATTATATAATCAATCAAGATTAGTCAACATCTATCCAATTTTAATTCCTTTTCCCATAATGTAGCATTCCTAAGTGTTTCACTACACAACATAAATTCTCAATTTTTTAACTCGTCATTAGACTGAATTTTTGCAAAAACATTATAATAAACATAGTTTATTAGATTTAATTCAATGTAAGTATTATAAATTTTATAGTTATCTACCAACACGTGTTTACAATCCTAAAAAAAGTTACTTAAGCTTAGGTTCACTCCAAGAGCCCGAGGTCTCTATATAAGAGACCCTTTAGCTAATTCAAACATTAAAGCAAAACTAAGAAGTCTCTTAGAAAACTCCAAACACAATATTTTAAAGGATTAGAGTCACATAAAATTAATATTTAATTATTTATTATTCTCGATTTATCCCAAAGTACTTGTTGAAATTATTTTTAATTCTAGAACTATACTTGTTAAACTCTACTCATTTTTTTTTTATATATTTCTAACCTTAGAGATTTTTAAAAAATTCCCTAAAATAACTTTAAATCATATTAGTCATTCCTTGTTAATTTTAAAGTGCTTGTGAGTACGTTTTACAAGTCCTAGATATCTAATAAGTAAAACTTTCATCCCAAAATAATTAAAATAAATTTGAATTAGTTATAATTTATTTTTTAGATTCATCTTTAATTTATAAATTGCTCTAGAGAAGTTTAAAAATAATCTTTACAACTCTTAAAATTAATCTTTACAACTCTTAAAATTAATCAAAGTCATTTGGAGTTTTTTAAAGTTATTTTTTATTGTTCCAAAACAGTCCTAGAATCACTATTTAACATCTCTACCCAATGACGAGATCTCTCCCTAATTTTTAAATCTACCTAAATCTAGTGATATTAGCTAGAATAAAATTTTAACATACTTACCTGATTTTAGAAAATTTCGGCCCACTTTTAAAGTATCTGATTTAGCTTCTGTGAAATTTTCTCAGCTGGCGTGCTATTCCTTCCCTCTCTCTTTCGATTACCAACCCTGCCGCCGAAGAATTAAATTTTGGAGCCTCGCGTGATTCACCCTCGAAGCTAAGCGAGTGGTGGGCCGCATATCCACCGTTGGCCTCAACTTTTATTTATTTATTTTTTTATGCTTGTTTCTTTTTCTTTTTCTTTTCTTTTTTATGTTTCCTTTTTTTCCCTTTTTTTTAATACTTTGTTTGTTTACTCTTTTTTTAAGTTATCTTATTCTTGTCCCGCTTTTTATTTTGACATTATATATATATATATATAACAAATTTTTACTTTCACCCATGTTTATTTCAGATGTTTTAAATGTTTTAATATAATTTATTTACTATTAATTAAGGTTATTTTAACAAATAAAAAATTAAATTTTAACAGTATTTGGTTTCAATATAATTTAAATAAATATAATTTCTTAAGTAAAAAATTAAGATTTTATTTATTTAATCTCACTAACTTTATAAATTTCTCACTCCTCAAAAATATATCTTGAAATTAAATCCTCAAAATTTATTTTACTTTGAGTAAATTCTCCTTATTCAAATAATTATATAGTAAATTCAAATTACAATGAAATAATTTATTTTTAATACTAATTAAGTCATAAAACTTAATATGTTATGCTTTTTATCTATGGCCAAACAGTCATAACTCTTAAATGTGACATTATCCTATTCTTAAATCCAAAAATAATTCTAAGAGATTTCTCAAAAAGGGAGGATATTACATCTTGTAAAGATATTAATAACAATTAAAAATTTTTAAAAATTGAAATTTTCAAAAAAAAGGACAATTATCTTTATTTGCAATTGAAATTTTTTTAATTATTGAAATGACCAGTGAAAGGTCATTCATGAATTTAAGGAATGTTGGTTGTGAATTTTAAAAATATCACTTGTGAATATATAAAAATCAATTGTAAATGATAGATAGTTTTATGAATATATACATCATTAATTATAAATTTAAGGAGAGCTACTTAGAAATTTTTGAAATGATACTTGTGAATTCATAAAAAGTTTGTTATGAATGGATATTCAAAAATATGAGAGGGTTTCTAAATCTTTAATTTAAAATTAAAAATATTTATATTAATCTATATCTAATGTTCCATAAAAAGTAACATTCCTTAAATTTACAATTAATTGTCCTTGAATCACCAAGTGAAATATAAATTCATAACATTATCTATTCATTTACATTTAAATTTTTATAAATTTATTATAGATCTCTCTAAAATTTACAAGTGACTATCCTTAAACTCATATGTGACAATACATATATTCATAAAAATATTTATTCATTTACAATTAACTTTCCATTGATTTATAAGTAACATTACTTAAATTCACAATTAATTTTATTTAAATTCATGAGGAATCCATTAATTATTTTAATAATTATTTATTTTTTAATTACAAATAAAGATAATGATTCTTTTATGACATTTTAATAGTTTGAGATATTCATTTGTCAACAATAACTTTACTCCCAAGCAACAACTTTTTTGCATGTTATCAAAGAGTGGTGATGATCATGGGGCCTACCTTGATTTTGCCACCAGTACCAATATATATAAGGTTAAATGATAAATTGGTACTTAAATATTAAGTTCAAGAATATTTTAAATTTTAAATTTATTTTAGGTGTAATGTTCTTCTTAAACTTTTGGAAATGATGTTGCCTCTACTATTCACAAAAGTCAATTTTAATTATTAATTGACAAAAAATGACAAAAAAAGATATAAAAAATTACAAAAAATAATCAAGAAAAGTTACCTCGTGTTTTATAAAATTAGAGAAAAGGTAGAAAACATCATGTTTTCAATAATAATACTTACTCCGTCCTAGATAATAGGATATTTTTGAAAGAATTTTTTAATCTCAAAATATAAGACACTTTTGGTAGATTGATGTTTTATTAAATGTATTAATTTTAATATTATCCTTTCTCTGTCTATAATTAATTTTCGTCCCTTTTCTTTTCAATATATTAAGTGATGGGTATTTTTAAAAGTTTATATTTTTGTTTTAGAAAGATAAGATTGTTAAATATATTTAATGAGGTTTATTGATATGTTAGATTTTGAAACAGAGGAGGTAATAATTTTGTATATAAAATAAATTATTCTTTCATCATTTATTTCATCACTTTAAATATATTTTTAAGAATAATGATTGATATTTTTTTTATTTTTATTTTTTAAAACTTATTCTTAAAAAATATTCTACTTAGGAACATTAAAAAAAATATCTTTTTATCATTACTTTCACTGCATTTCATGGAAATGGCTTTATGCAATAAAATTCTGTAGACTGTGGCTTTGTACCATACACATGATAATAATGGGGAAGACTTTCGGAGAAAAAAAATCCCTGAAAGCAAATAATTCTTGGGGACACAACAAATGCAATAATACCACGTGGGGACACAAATTAAAGCAAGTGGGAATAGATGCACATGGCCATAAATAAAATTCCATAATGTCACAATGTCAACTCTTCCAATAAATCTTGGTCAAAAATACAGGGGGCATCCTCCACTGAATCAACAAACTTTCTACAAGACAATATGAATCAGACTAGCTGTTAAACCGTGATCAAATTAATTAAAAACAAAACATTTTATTAAATCTGCTAAAATACTGGTTTAATGATTTAATAGTTCATTTGATCCGGATTTTCATACTATAATTTTCTATCTTAAAAATGACGCTTGTCTTTGCTCAATTAGACGTATATCGTCACCATAATCTGGGATCAAAATCAGTGTATATAAGCAGACAGAAAGCATTTCTCTGCACCGAAGTTAAGCAACTGTGAAATCCTAAAACCATGGGGTCTTCGGGATCGCTATTACTCTTGGAGATTTTTGTGTTTGCTTTGTTTCTAGTTTTATCAACTACTTCATCATTTCCAGTTCATGAAAGATTCACTCGTTGCCTTCAAGCAAATTCTCATAACGCAATCCCATTCGCCACATCGTTTTACACTCCAAACAACAATGCTTCATACAGTTCAGTCCTTGAATCCACAGCTCAAAATCTAAGGTACTTGCTACCTTCAATCCCCAAACCTGAATTCATATTCACTCCCATGGACGATTCTCAAGTTCAAGCTGCTGTCATCTGTGCCAAAAAGCTCAAGATCCACATGAGAGTGCGTAGTGGAGGTCATGACTATGAAGGCCTTTCTTATGTTTCTCTCATAGAGAAACCATTCATGGTTTTAGATCTCGCCAAGCTTCGTGCCATCCAAGTCGATATAGCACAAAACACGGCTTGGATTCAAGCTGGTGCTACAATTGGAGAAGTTTACTACAGAATTTCAGAGAGAAGTCCAGTTCATGGCTTCCCTGCAGGCCTTTGCACAAGCTTAGGCATTGGTGGTCACATAACAGGAGGAGCATATGGCTCCATGATGAGAAAGTATGGTCTGGGAGCTGACAACGTCATCGACGCGCAAATTGTGGATGCTCATGGCAAAATTCTTGACAGAGCAGCCATGGGAGAGGACTTGTTTTGGGCAATTAGAGGAGGAGGAGGTGGAAGCTTTGGGATTATCTTGTGGTGGCAAATCAAGTTAGTTAAAGTTCCACCTGTAGTGACAGTTTTTACTGTTACTAAAACTTTAGAACAAAATGCAAACAAGATTCTCTATAAGTGGCAGCAAGTAGCACCAAATATCGATGAGAATCTGTTCATGAGAGTGCTGATTCAGGTAACAAATTCAAGCGTTGTTGCAGGTGAAAAAACCGTTTCAACTTCTTATAATTCTCTTTTCCTTGGTGGGGCCAATAAACTTCTCCAAGTGATGAAGAAAAATTTTCCAGAATTAGGTCTCACCAAAAAGGATTGTTTGGAAACAAGTTGGATCAAATCTGTGCTTTACATTGCTGGCTATCCAAACAACACACCCCCAGAAATTCTTCTCCAAGGGAAATCCACTTCCAAGGCATACTTCAAAGCTAAGTCAGATTTTGTGAGGCAAGTGATTCCTGAAACTGCTTTGAATTCTCTGTGGAAAAGGTTTATGAAAGATGATGGGCCCTTGATGATCTGGAATCCATACGGAGGAATGATGAGCAAAATCTCAGAATCTGCAATTCCATTTCCTCACAGAAATGGAACACTTTTCAAGATACAATATGTAACGGGGTGGCTAGATGGAGAGAAGAGCATGAAAAAGCACATGAATTGGATCGGTAGATTCTATTACTCCATGAAGCCCTATGTTTCAAGCTTTCCAAGAGAATCTTATGTGAATTACAGAGACCTTGACTTGGGGATGAACCAGTATAATAACACAAGCTTCTTGAGGTCAAGCATTTGGGGATACAAGTACTTCATGGATAACTATATAAGGTTAGTGAAGGTGAAGTCTAAGGTTGACCCAAGTAATTTTTTTAGGCATGAACAAAGTATCCCTCCATTAACAATTCGAGAGAAGAAAGGGTCAAACCACTGAATTTTTCTTTTTGGGTAATAATTTATATGGTTTGTGTTCGTTTTATGATATTTTCTTTCTTATGTGTGAGATCCACTTGATTTTATGCCAGAATTACTCTTGGAGTTCTAAATTATAGTAGATTTAATGTTGTTTCAATGTGACAACAGCGGTTAACCCTTGTGTACTTGTCCCTTTGGCAATGGAAGTATGAACTGATCTTTATATATTGTATGATAATCTCTTGCTTTACTTAGTAACAAAATATATTTGTTTTAAAAACTGAATTGAATCGAATTGAACAATTAAACCATTGGGCTGTCAATCGGAGCCATTAACAACTCGGTTAAACCAGAGTTGAGTTGTTATTGAATAAAAAACCATAATAGTTTTAAAAAAACTAGATGGCTTTAAGTATAATATTATATAAAAAAATTTGAAGAAAATAGAAAAATTCAAAAATTAGACCTGTACAAAAAGCCAATTTCATTTTCAGGCAATTCACATGTATGAAAGATGATTTGAAATCATTTTTTAAAAAGATATTGATAACTATATGTGCAAATACAGATATTTTTAAGTCAGTCTACACAATTTAATCAAGATCTACCTATCTTTGAAAAATTATAAAATTATAATTTATAATATTGTGAATTAGTGATTATGTTGTGTCATTTTATTAACAACTATACCTACTATAGATTTATTTATTCAATATATTTTATATAAGAATTTAATATTATTTTTTATTTAATTTTTATCTCACCAATTCGATTATCGATATGATTGGTTAAACCATATAAAAATTGAAAATTATTAATTTTTCCGATTCAACATTCTAGTTCAACTTTTTAAACATTATATATAGGTCAATGCTTTACAAGAAATTTGGCAAATGTCCTATGTTATGCTTGTAAAGTATATTGTTTGATGTGCATATGATATTTTATATTTATTAAAATTTTTTTTATTGGTTTTCCATTAATAATACTAAAAAGAGGAGTCTATCTTTTTTTGTGTTTGAATACAAAGACACAAAAAACCCATGTAAAAGTTGAACAAAATCAAGTTATGTCAGATTTCATAAGGGATCTGCATCTTGAGGGCGGATGATTATGAATAATAAGATCAAGATTATCCTAAGAGGCCTGGTGAGTGAACATGTCCGTACATTGCTTGCTTCCCCAAACGTGTGTTCAAAGGTAATGATCCAATCTTTCATGACCAGTGTTTTGACTTTGTTGATAATACCAGAGAGAGGATATTTATTAGGGAAATTATGTTGGATAAGCAAGAGTGCTTCTGCAGAATCAGAGTATATGTTGATTTTATTAAACTGGGCATTTCAATAAAGCTGAAGTCCTTCTAAAATGCACAAGAGTTCTGCTATTGTGCTTGGATGATAATCGAGATATTTGGAAAATCTCTTGATCCAATTGCTTTTATCGTCTCGTATGATTTCACTATAAGTAGCAATTCTAATGGAGTGGACAGCCCCGTCAATGTCAAGGCGGATCCAACTTGTTTTTGAGGGTGTCCATCATGCCTTTAGCCTTTTGCAATCACGACTAAGGAGATTAACTTTAGATTGAAGCCTCATGTCGTTGGAGATTTGCTGGATAACAGAGAAAGTAATGTTGACATTCTGAATAGTTTCTTCAGAATAGATTTTTTTGCAACACGTCTTCCAGATGTTCTAGCAAACTTGAGTAAAAAGTCTCTACCAAGGGGTCTTTCTTGTGTTTAGATTTCTTGCCTTAACTTTCGCATTCTAAGTTATCTAATCTTGTATAGAAAGGGAGAAGAAAGTATTAAGTTTTGAGAGTTTTACCAATTTAATCCAAATGTTACGAGCTTTTATGCAATCTCGCAGAATATGAATGGAGGAATCAAGAGAATTGCATCTAAAAAAGCAAATTTGTTGAAGAGGAGCACTCCCTTCGGTGTAGGTAGATTTGAGTTGACGTTTGTCCCAAGCAACCTTTCAAAGAAAGTATTTGATTTTCTCATAAGTAGGTCATTTTCAAATCCTTGCCCAAATGTCGGAATTGTTACGATCATTTTGAGAGGCCATAACCTTATAAGCGGATTTGACGGTAAAGTTGCCATCAGAGGATGATCTCCAAACAATGACATCATCATCCCCAGAGAGATTGGGTGGTCTAACCAGCGCAATAAATCTTATCACCTCAGGAGGGAGGTGACGATTCAGAAGGCTAAAATTCCATCCCTCAGTAGAGTTGCAAAGATTAGAAACTCAAGCATGAACACTAAGGTAGGCATAATAAACAAGAGGTTCCGAAAGAGGGGACCACTTACTGTACCATGGTCTCCCTTATCAATTTTCCAACCAACATGCGCCATGAATTTATTCCATATTTTGCAAATATTATTCTAAGTGAATGAGGAGGAGTTAGGTTTGTAAACCATAGGAATGGTGGGATTTATACATTTATATTTGTCACGAAGAATCTTGACTCAAAGCCAATTTGATTGAGTGATAAAGTCAAGTCTTCTCAACATACATTGTCACATTAGAGTGGTGCAGATGGGCAGTGGTGTCCCTATTAGAGTTAGGTTCTCTTTGAAAAATATTTATTATACTTTTATGTATATAAGAATGAACTCTGTAATGATATTGCTTGTAAAAAAACACTGTAATATGATATTTCATATTTAGAGAAATAAAAAATTATTTATATATTACATTTTTATATGATTCAATAAAAAAACAAATTGGTCCATCAACAATTGTGGGCACAATGATAAATTATTAGATGGTTTTTTAAAAAATAATCAATAACTAGAAATGAAAAATCAGCCTACATCAATGTTTTGGGTTCGTGCCATTACTGTCCGCTAAGGCTGCCAATATTATATTTCTTTCCTTCTCTTTATATTATAAGACCCATCTAATCGTCTCATTAAAATTAAAAATAAATAATTAAGTTATTAATTTTTTTAAAAAATAAAATTTCAATTTTATTTATATTTAAGTGCAAAAAAATTTAAATTTGTATTATATTTATATCATAATTAATGAATTTAAATAAAAATAATATTAAAAAATATAATTAATATCATATGAAGTACTTTATATTAAGGACCATCAATCTCTTATACAAGATGACTTATAATAAGCACATGATCAAGAAGTATACTTTGTTATTTATTTAAAAACTAAACATTTATTTTTTAATTGTTATATTTTCTCAAGATATGTGCATAATAATAAATTATTACGGAACGCGTCCAATAAGGCTGCCGATATTTTTCTTATTGTGCTCCCACAAGAACTTTACCAAATATGCTTTGAATCAGATATTTAAATTCATTTCCTTGTAAGTTTCTATTGAATCTTCCACTTTACTTTTCTGCGTTATTTCCTTTCACTAGTCAGACTCAGCACCCTTGATCTTATCTAGGACGTGCGCATTTTACTCGTTAGATTTGAGCAATAAGCTATTCTATTCATGATTTGACTTATTAAACTTTTTGTATAATATATAAATATAAATAAATTTATTTTTAATTTTATATATTAAATATAAAGACGGACCTGCGTGTCATATGAAGAGAGCAGCTGTCTGCCTGTCCCAACAAACTTTTAACAATTTCTTTAATAAATAAATACTCCTCTGAACTCTGAATTTTTTTATAAATTATTTCTATCAAAATATCAATATAAAAAAATATAATGAATAAAAATATGTAACATTTTAAATATATTTTTATATAATAAATTTAAAAAATAATGTTATGTTATTTTTATTTTTTATAAAGAATAACTTTAAAAATATATTTTAAATATTACATAAAAAATCACATTATAACTTATAAATAAAATTAAATGAATCTTTAATAATATGATTTATAAATGAGATCAGAGAGAGTATGATACTAATATATGTATATTCCCATCTCATAGATTAACAAACATTAATTGCCAAAGGTGATTGATGATATTATTTTTTCATGTCATTTAACATTTTATTAGTTTTTCATTTATAATTTTCTGGACCCACATAAAAAATATCACACATTTTATAGTCATCACCAAAATATAAAACCTTGTAAGAAAATTTATAAAAGGAAATATTGGAGCAAAAACTTATAATATATATTCAATTTTTTAGTATTATAAGAGTGTCTTTATATATGTAAATATATCAAGTTCCACTATTCAAAATTTTTGAGTCCCGTCATTGGACAAATCTATATACATAAAATAGAATTTTAAACTTTTTACCTTTCAAAAAATACCTATATATAGGAGCCTATATATTAATACGGACATAAGAAGGTATATATTTGAATTCTACCATAAAGCAGCTTAGATGAATCAATGGCATGGTACAGTTGATTAAAAAATTATATTTTACATGTTTATTCATATATATAGAGAGAGAGAGAGAGAGAGATACAATAAAAAGGAGTTCATATACATACATACATACATATATATATATATATATATAGAGAGAGAGAGAGAGAGAGAGAGAGAGAGAGAGAGAGAGAGAGAGATACAATAACAATACAACTCCTTGTAGCCAATTGAGTGAGTTTCAATTCGCCATCAAAATTAATGTCTTCCATCTTCCAAGCACTAAAGCACTGTATAAACGTATGCTCGCCATATCAAGTGATGACAAGTTTCATGTGACTTTTGGGTTAGAATAATCATAGCTCGCACCAATTATGTCTATCCCTTATTAGACGACAAGGAAGAAATAAGTGTGGCTTAATTATTTATTAATTTCTTTTTAGTTTACATATATAGTATATTTTTTTATTAAAGATAATTATATTCAAAAAATAATTGAAAATTTTAATTATGGGCTTGCATATTTATTATAATCACAATTCACGTGCTACCTTTTCATGACCTTTTGCAACTCATCATCAGGTGTTTGGTTCAGCAATGACAACAACAATAAAATATTTTAAAGTTTTGTTTGGATACATAGGAATCTGAATTTAGATTTGAATTTTTATTACTTAGATAATTAAAAAAGTATGCATTTAAATTTGATCCAAGCTCTACCTCAATTTTTTTTTGGAATTTAAAATCCTTTTTAAACTTTTATTATTTCAAATTCTATATCAATTTCTTTGTAATTTGACTGGTCCATTGATTGCATTGAACTGGACCAAATTGCTAGCAAAGACTAAGACTGGTCCATAGCTGCCAATTGGGATTGGACGGTCGACACCAATTGAGATCAAAAAGCTAACTTCCA